TAAGACCCCCAGGTGATTCAGGTGCACATTCAAATTTGAGAAGCTCTGACTTAAGAGACAGGCTGAGTGGGATCAAAATATTGTCCCAAATATAGGAAACCAATCAGATATTTTTAGATACAAAAAATAGCATCCGCAACCTATCCCCCCAGTAGTGTGTGATTAAGCATGAGTCACAGAGGGCTGAGCATCTCTGTGCCATGTGATCAATCAGCATACTTCCAAGGTTAGCTCCCTATGGAGGAGCTGGCCCATTCCCTACAGCTAGCACCTTCTTAAACCATGATGGGGTCACCTCTCCAAAGTAAAGAGAACAGAACTAAGACTCACATCCTGAATCTCAGGGATGCTGCCTTTAAAACAGATTTTCTATTTTTGCCTTTATTACCAACGCGTTTGGCTTTTGAACTTTGCAAATTGCCAAAGACAAAATGCAATGTATAAAGCCAGTCTGAACAAACACACAGTCCTTTAAAGGGGGGCATCTTGCAAAGGGCTGTGTCCCCCCTTCCCAGGGATGTGATGCCCCGCAGGCCCCAGTGCCTAAAGCCAGGTGCTAGTGAAGCTTTCTGGGAAGGAACCAGCATCAAGCCCATCCATGAAGAAAACAGGTGAAAAAGGTGGTTCCATCTGCAGCAAAGGCAAAGACGAGGCTTAAAATGAGACTGGCAGCACGCTGGCCTCCCTACCCCACCCCGGCTGGGGATGGAGGGGTCTGCTTTGGGAATGGTTCCTGAGCTTCGATGCCTCCTTCAGTGAGGATGACTCATCCCTTAATTCCTCTCTCCTCTCAGTCTGCCTTGGGTCTTACTTATTTTTATCCCCAGAATGGAGTTGTTGCCCAAAGGATGATATTTCTCCACCTGCAAGGGCTTTCCTGGAGGATGAATTTTAAAATATTCATTTTTACAGCTTGCTCCCAGCGATAACGCAGAAGACAAGAATGCTGTGGGGAGGAGCGGGGACAGCGACACAGGCCCAGCGGGGAAGCCTGGGGTCTTGGGGAACTGCTAAGTGGCTCTGCCCTGGAGAAGCATTCCAGGGACTGACTCCAAGGAGTTGGACCAGGGAAAATGGGACGGGTCCAGTATGCCTTCATAACTCTCTTATAATGCTGAAAAAAATTAAAGTCACGCCTGAGAACAGTCCTGCTGTTTTTGCTCTGCCAGCAGGCAGGTCTATTATTTTGGTAGCAAGCCTCATTTTTTTCTCCAGGGAACAGCCTTTTGCCCATTACTTGGGGTCTTGGTGGGCCTGTCAGTCAACATGCCTCGCCCTCCCTTTGGCTGGAGGCACGTGACCCAGGCCAGACCATTTGGAAGCTCAGGTCCTTGAAAAGAGACACAGTAGCATCTGGAGTGAACATCTGGATTCACCCGTCCTGGTGGTGGTGCCTGGGGAGGCTGCCTCCTGGTTCTTGCAAACTGGATCCGTGGCCAAATCAAATTCTCTTCCTCGTCCTTCTTTGTTTGTTGTTTTCTTTTTGGTTTTTTTTTGCGGTACGTGGGCCTCTCACTGTTGTGGCCTCTCCTGTTGCGGGGCACAGGCTCCGTACGCACAGGCTCGGCGGCCATGGCTCACGGGCCCAGCCGCCCCGCGGCATGTGGGATCTTCCCAGACCGGGACACGAACCTAGTCCTTCTTGATGTCTGGCTGTTCACTCTCCTGAGATTCCATGAGCCACTCCAAGTCATTTTAATTCTATTTTTTTGCTTAAGTTAGAGTTGGTTTCGATTATTTGTAGCTAAGAATCCAAACGGACACAAACCCAAATGCCCAACAATTGGGGCTCAGATCCAGAAAGTGTGATACAGCCCATGATGGAATACTACACAACCAGGTACAGCAATGAGATAAATGTATGTTGACATGGAAAGATGTTCATAACATAGCATTTGGTGCAGAGCAGATTATAACAAAACAGGATGCCACAGTATGACACCACGTTTGCAAAATATACTCTGTACCTTCATAGAAAAAGATCTAGAAGAAAATGTAACAGTATTTATTCTGGAGGGTAGGAAGGTGAATGATTTTTCTTTCAGCTTCTCATAAAGATAAGCTTTCTAACCTTTCTATAATATCTGTGTAATCAATTTTTTGTTTTGCTTTGTAAAAAATGGGCCCAAGCAGGTCACTGGAGCCATACTATCTTGGTGCCTGTCAAGAGTGAGGTGGTTTTCTGGGTTCAGGCAGCAACTTATTTACCAAATGCCCAGGCTCCTGCTATAGCCACAGCTTCCCTGTAGCTCTAACTACTGCTTAAGAACATGTCGGAAGCATCTGAGTCTCCAGAACAAGGAAGCACCTCTTCCCACAGCTCCAGGGCACCAGCAGCATCCCACTTATGAGAACCTTGTGAGGTGGAGGGTCTGCTCTCTCCCTGATGGAAAAGAGAGGCTCAGGGAGACAGGTGACCTGCCCAGGTTCCCACAGTGAGGGTTTAAAGCCAGGTCACCTGGCCCAGGGCCCCAACGCCCCAGGGCGTTTCACTAACAGCCAAAATGAGGCGGCTGAGCCTGGGGAAGGACTCGGTGCTGTCCTGTGAAGTCAGCTGTGTGGACACGCTGCAGAGGGGTGAGGGTGAGGGAGGGGAAGCTCTCTCCTCAGTGTTGGGGCCTGACCTCCTTGCCCTGCAGAACGGCCTCCTCCCAGGGGTGACGGTCAGGGGGAGAGTGGATCTGTGGGGTAGTCTTACCTTCCAGCTCTCAGCTTGAAGGTCATCTGCTCAGAGAGGCTCTCCTTGACCCTCTAAGGCAGGTCCAGACATTAGTGCCTCAGCCTGCTTGTCTCCTTTGGAGCACTTCACGTAACTTGCAGTCATTCTCCTTCATGGTCTGTGTGTCCCTGCTTGGCTGTATGCTCCCTGAAGGCGGGGCTTATGACTGTCCTGCTCACTGCTGTGTCCCCACGTCTGGTCCCCTGCAGGCACTCACCAAGTATCTGCTGAATGATGGAATAGATGAACCCTGGACTGCGGTGGTGAGCAAACCCTAGGGGTTTTACCTCTGCCTTTACTGGCTGTGGGACCTCAGGCAAGTTGCTGCTCCTCTCCGGGTCTCTTCCAAGCCTTGATGTAAGTATAAATATCCAACTTCATTTAAAGGGTTGCCCTCACCCTTCCTGAATATATTCGGACCAATTCAAGGGAAGGTAATAGAAGTTGGCATCTTTATACCTTAAACCAGCTGCTGGTTGATTATTCTTTCTGATGATAGCATCGCAATGGTCTCCCCAGGAGTCACTGATGTGCGATGAACCCAATTGTATTTCTTATTCAATAAACTCCTTTATTGTAACTTTACAGATTTTTCCATTACAATACTGAAAACAGCACTAGTGATTTGTAACACTTAGGCTCAAATCAAAGGGGAACCCCTCCTCAAATTATAAGGTAAATGACACATAATTCAACATATAGTAAACGTTGGGCAAAAGGAATTCAAAATATAGAAAACGGGGTGAAGATGGTGTGTGTGCAAACGCTTTAAGGTTTAGTTTATCGGGAGGACACCATGTTTGAAAGCACTTGATTTTGAAAACTATATTTAAAATCTGTGAGAAAACACAACTGTAGAGAAAAGGCAAAATCAAGCAAAAACCAAAAAACCTCCAAAACGAAAGGAAGTGAATCAAATACACGAGGCTGCAATGCAAACCTCCGGTGCTTTGGCCCTGGGATGGCAAGTGAGCAGGTTTCATAGACATTCTCCATGGAAAGGAACGTCTGAGCCTGATGTGACATCGCTGTGTCTCCGAGTCCTGTCTCCTCACAGAGGAAAAGAAGTTGCTCGTCCAACACATCTGCTGGGTCCGCCAGGCAGGGGCCCACATCTCCAATCCATTTGAGAACAGCCCCAGATCCCGGAAAGGTGGTCCTGGAGCACAAGGCGACGGGTGGTGGGAGTCAGGCCCCGCCCCTGCCGGAGCTGTCCGAGTGGCTCACGGGGAGCGGGTGGGCCTCCGTGTTGAACACCCAGTCTTCCAGCGAGAGCATGTCATCTTCAGAGAACAGAAGATAGAGATACCTGTGCCCCAGCAGGGAGGGGAGCAAGACACAGCCTGTCAGTGCTCTGGGGAAGGGGGCACCCACTGGGAAGGAATCTCAGGGGCCTCTGTGACTGGCCTGTGCCCAAGGGCGCAGGGAGGTCGGAGACCCCAAATCTGCCCAGAGGGCTCATCCCCGGGAAGGAGCTGTGGACGCGGATGGGAGCACTGAGCTTTAGGTCAGACAGAGCCGGTTCATCCTGGCTCTGCCCCAGCCCCCGCTCTGTACCTCCCCCTCAACCAGCTTCCCTCAGGTGCTTTCCCCACCTGGCCCTCTTAGGACCCTGTGTGGCCTAGATTCTCTCTTTTTTTTTGCAGGGAGGCCTGAGGGCTACCCCAGGACTCGGCCTGCTTCCTTATGTACCAGGAGACTCGACACTCAAGTAGATATCCGGGTGCTAAAACGCACAGGGAGCCGTGACTCCAGAACTGCAGGTTTCCAAGCCATGGGGGTTTTTAATGGAAGGAACAGACCATCCAATCCATCCTAAACAGCTAAAGCACAAGGGGACTGCTTTAGGGAACAGCGAGGAAACGAGGAGGCCAACTTTTGCCCCAAGAAAGGAGGGGAACAGCGCAGCAGCACAACTGCAGCAGTGACTGGGATTGACACCATCACGGTTATTATTCTGCCCATTTTACAGAAGGGCACAGTTTCAGAGAACTTAAGTAACTTGAGGAGACAGGTTAAAGAAGTTAACTTCTCACATAGCTAATGCTTATGGGGGTGGAGTCCAGCCCAGCCTCACTCTGCGTGGAGAAACTGGCCTGGCCTAAGGCCCGCCCCTGGATCCCAAGCCTCCATCCCTCTTGGGCCCCCCTCCTGGGACAGCAGAACTTGACTGATGGTGAAGGAAGGGACTGCTGCCCCCTGCCCCTCCCCTCTGCCCCCTCCCCCTTCCCTAAGAAAAGCCCGAGTTGCCCTCTGGGAAGAACACCAGCCAACCCCCAACTCACTTTAGTGTCTCCGCTAGAAAGAAAGTCTGCTGCTTGTTGTCGTGGTCGGGAACCTTACTGTATACATCTTGGATCCCAGAGAACCCGGCTTCCGTCCGACAGTATTTCTCCAAGGCCTGAAGGAAAGGAAGGCAGCCTTGGTGTGGGGAGAGGAGAGGCCCCCCACCAAGATTCACGCCTGCCCAGCTCTCGAACAGGCAGGCCCTCCCAACACTTGGCTGGGGACCCCAGCATTGGTGGGGGCAGCAGGCCGAATTCCTGCCGTCACCACGCTCCCTGGGCCCACGCGGAGAACTTAGTCCCTGGCCGGCCTGAGCGCTTCACCTGGTGTGAACTTAGAGGAAGCTTCTCTGCCTCTCGGGGAACTAGACTGACCTGACAGACTCACCCACAGTGGTGGACAGAGGTCAGGGAAGGGGCTGGTGATGTTTGTGGGCTGGGATTTGGGGACAGGACTTGGCACGCCCCAGGGATTCCCTGTAGAGATGTAGTCCCTGGGCCAGAGGCTGTGCCTGCCTTTTGTACAGAAATGCAAGTTTTACCCACTGAGGGTCTGTGAGTGGGGCCCAGGGGCGCAAAACACTTGGCTTTCAAAGGTCAAGAACCGGGGTCTTCAGGAAAGCAGGGGGACTCTGGCCAATGAAGCATGTCAGGGAGCCCGAGCGGGGTCCACGCCCCAGCTGAGCACCTGCCCTGGGAGTGTGGCTCTCCCCACCAAGTCTGTGCCTCCGAGAGCAGTGGCCCCGGGGGAGAACAGCAGAGAAAACTTGGCATCCGTCCAAGAACCTTCCGGAATCCCCACCCCTGCCTTTGATACCTGCCCCAAAGAAGGAAGGGGATTGGGGGAGCAGAGCCCAGAGAGGGGGCTGCCCAGGGCTGGGCTGGCTTCGGGGAGAGGAGGGAGGTGAGCTGGCAGCCCGTTTCTGTTTGAGAAGAAATCTAAAGTCACCTGTCCAGGCTGCAGCGTCGGACAGCAGTGACCACGCGTGCGCTGGGCCACCTCTGGCTGCTGCCCTGCGTTCGCCCCTCTCAGTTTGCGGACATTATTGGGCACTCAGAACACTCTTCACGAGTTCCTGGCCTGCTCCTGGCCGGCTGGGGACTCTTGGCTCTGCAACCAAAGCTTGATCCTTTGCACTCTCAACTTTAGCCAGATGCCAGCCTGGCTTGCCCTTCCTCTTGGGTTTGGACCCTGACTGTGAATTCTCACGGGCACCTGCCACCAGTTCACCACCCTCCCCCTGCGCCCCGCCACTCACCATCACCACTTCCCAGCCCCACTCCCTGTAGGCGGGGTCGTGGGTCTGCCGCCACAGGTACATGTAGCTCTCCACCACCTCGGGCCGCAGGATGTAGTAACTCTCGCTCGTCTGCGTGGCCACGGCCTCTCTGCCTGAGTTAAACCAGAAGGCTTCGGGTCCCAGTTTGGTATCTGCAGGAATGACCAACCAGGGGGCCTGGGTCAGACCTCCCACCTCCTGGTCTTTAGGATCCCAGTGCCCCAGGAGAGACGGAAGTGGCGTGGTAGCCCTGGCCGGGGCTGGCTGGTGATGGGCTGGCATGGGCTGGCCAAAGCAACGCCCTTAGGCTTCGAAACGTTTGCAGTTTAGACCCTGAGAATCCAAATGAACTTCCCAGCAGTCCGGGGAGACAAAAGTTTGGGTGGGGCTCCCCAACTGTGTATTTTGAGACATTAGCCCTGCAGGATGTTAACCAGTGCTCAGCCAAGAAAGGATTGTAGTTTTAAGCACATTTGGGGAACAGTGGGTTAAACAAAGTGAAAGCCTCCTGTCTACAGGACTTACCAGACCCTTTAATTTGCTAATATGCAATGATGCTTCTCCACAGACCCCCTTTCTCTGGGAACTGCTTTTGACACGTCCCAGAACCAGCCTTCCAGAGCTGACAGTTTGGGAGACTGCTGAGGTGGAGATGAGGGAAGATTCGCCCAGAAGGCACATATTCAGGCAGAGGGAGCTGAATAAAGAAGGCCTGACGAGGTCTGGGTTTTGTTGTCATTATTTGGTTTTGGTCAGTTTGTTGCTGTACCTGTTTTCTGGATGACCACCATTATAACCACCACTGCAGCCACCATTTATGAGTTCAAGGGCTGTGCTGGGTGCTTTGCATACATTTATTGCAATCCTTAAAAAATGTTGTTTTGGTAAGGCAGATACTGTTATCTGCCTCTCGCGCATGTGGAAACTGAGGATCAGAGAGGCTATGTAATTTGTCCAAGGTAACACAGCAAGTTGTGGCCGAGCTGGGATGTGACCCTGGATCTGTCTGATGCCCTTTCCCCAGGCTGTCCTCTCTCTCTTTCTCCCCTGGGTCTGACTCTCTAGGTCCAAAATTTAGGGTATGTGGGTCAGATCATCCTCCCTTTAATGCCTGCATATCCTGTCAGGTCAGTGGAGGGCCCAGCTCTGGTCCTAATGTGGGCCCCCCACCTCCCATTAGGGCTCAGGACCCCAAGAGGCCCTGGGCTGCTTTTTCTCAGAGACATATTGGAGCTTTGCAGGACATCCTACTCATTCATGGAGGGCTTCATGGAAGAGGAATTAGGCAGATCCTGGCTCCTCTGATCCTCTCAAAAGAGCACAACTGCTCTTGGCCATCAGAACACAGATGTTTCGCCAAGCTGCTAATGGGGTGAGGGCAAGAGCGACTGCTGCAGCCATCCATGGACGAGCCGGGCTGGTTGTAACAACATGCTCTACTAAGCGGGCTGTCTTTCATGGTCTGGGCTGATTGTCCCCGACAAATAGCAAGCTTTTTATTATTCCTGAGATTTCCTATTTGTTTGTGTGCTGGCAGAGATAGCTCTTTGAAGGGAATTGAAGACCAGTTTTAAGGACCCACTGCGAATTGCTGGCTTCCTGAAAACAGCTCCAGGAGCTCTGGATTCCACTGGCGCGCTCACAGACACGTTTTCGGTGGACTGCTAACAAACGCCTCCCATGCTGCTGGCTGAAGGCGCAGGCCAAGCACTTTCTGTGGGGCCCAGGAGACCTGTGTTATTGTTCCCATTGAACAGATGAGAAAACAGAGGCCACCAGCTGCTGAGCGGCAGAGCGGCATTTAAGCCAGGATCTTTTACTGCAGATCTTAGGTCCTCTCTTGCAACCAAGGCTGGGTTTACCACTCAGAGCGGTGGGCCCCTTCTGGGGTCAGGGGGGCCTGGGGCTTTTTCTGAGGGGTGTTGTTTAGAAAGGCAGCACACAAGATGGGGCTGGGCATCAGGAGACCTGGGTCCTAGCCCCGGCTTAGCTACTCATACACGGTGTGGCTTTGGCTAAGCCAGGTCCCCGCTCTGGGCTGACTCAGTTTCCCCGCGTGTAAAATGAGGAGTTGGGTTCACATTCTCTCATGTGGCTTCTGAGTCTAGTGTTTGACAGTGCTGCGGTGAGTGCTGGCGGGGATGGTGCAGAAGCTCTCAAGCTTTCCGGGGGTCTTGGATCAGAGGGTGATTATGGGGTGGTGCCAGGAGGTGGTGAGACCCTCTGAATGGGAGCGTTCCAGGGAGGAAAGGCAGAGATACGTTTAGGGGTAGGGGCTCAGGGAGAAGGAATTTGCTAAAGGCTCAGGAAGCCAATGTTTCTGCCTCAGGGGCTGGAGGACCCTCTGCTCTGAGCCCCTCACATGGGAACTTGGCCGGGTCATCTCTGAGCCTCAGTTTCCTCATCTGTGTTGTGAGGGTCAGCGATGATGTATGTCAAGTGCTGAATGACACCCGGCACACACAAAGCGCTAACACAGCACCGTGTTCCCTTTAACTGAGGGCACAATCTCTGTGTGTGCATAGCACACCCCTCATTCAAATTCTGGCTAACCTCCAAGGTGAGGCTTCCCTAAGTCCATGTGTTCCCTTCACTCACTGCCACTCTCCTGGTCTTTCCAGTTCTTCCTGGTGTCTAGCCTCAGTCTTTCCTGCTGCTGCCCCTTCCCCTTGCAGGGTTACCTGAGCGGGCGTACGATTCGTGGCACGTCTTGGTGATCTGGGCTGCGAGCTCTCGGTAGTGGGCCCTCTTTTCTTCCTTGGCATCCTCAGCGCCGAGGGCGATCATGCCCCCGGAGAAACAGGCCAGGTGCCCCATCTTGTGGTCCAGAATCCCCCCTCGCCACTCAGCAATGTAGGTCAGCCCCCCGGGAGAGACATTCAGCAAGTGGGTCTCTATCGCCTGGGAGCAAGGTGGGAATTGGGCGGGGAGGAAGGGCATGGGAGGGTACAGAGAAGGGAAGGGAGAGGACGGAAAATGAACATTTTGGAGACGGCAGCAAGTGCAGCTCTGTCGAGCCCTCCATCCCAGACAAAGGAGGCCTGCTGACCTTGGCTGGGGGCGGTCCCTGATGGGGCTGGTGGGAGGTTCTGCCACTCACCCAGCTGAGGCCTGGTGCTTGCTGGGGGGCTTGGACACAAGGCAGCTCCCCAGGGCCAGTCTCTTACACGGACTTTTAAAACTTCTACATTCAAAAAATTTTTGGAAAAAATATCTTTAAAAATTATTATCAATCTCCATTATATCCTCTGTTACGGAATCTTAACCTGAAGGCCAGTTGGCCCGTGGATGGGCTGGAAGGGGTCCAGAACGCCCCTAAAACTGTATGTGACACTTTAGGGCATTTTCATGGGAAGAGGGTCAGTAATATTTGATCAGATTCTGAAAAAGGACCACAGACAATAACAGCTGCTCTCTACAGGCCCTATTCACAGGCTTCCTCATTTAATGCTCACAAAAAGCCAGGCACATGGGCTGTAGTGCCCTCTCTAGACACAGGGGTTGAGTGGCGTGTCCCAGGTCACCCACCACACCACGGTCAGGACAAGGACCCCCAGATGCCCAAGCCCGGCTCCTTCCATTACCCAATGGCTGCTCCTTTTGGTGGCAAGGGGCTTTCAGAGCCCTCCCCTGGTCCCCCAAGAGGTGATGCCGTTGGGAAAGACTCCCAGGATGTTGGGGGGTGTAGGTGTCAGGGCATCGTGCCCCTGACTGCCTGCCGTTAGTCCCTCGGGAGCCCTGGAGACTGAAGTGATGGCGGCAGCCACCCACACAGCTGCAAGGCTGCACTCAATGGGTCCTAATCCAGGGCAGAGCCTCTGGGGCCCTGGCCAGGCCTCTGCCTCCACTCTTGCCCTCCCGTCTATCCTCTGGGGTGGGCGGGTGGTGGGGTGCACTCTGTACGTAGTGGACCTGACTGCGTCTTGGGCCTGTTTAATGCCCTCCCATGGTTTCCAAGTGCCCTCAGACGAAAGTCCAGCAGGGCCTCCGAGACTCCCTGATGTACACCCTGCGGTTTAACCTGATGCCACGGCCATGGCTCCCGGGTGTAGACTCTGGTTCAAACCCCACCTCCACCAGTTCCGAGCTGTGTGACGTTGCGCAGGCTCTATGTTCTCTCTGTACCTCAATCTCCTCACGTATAATATGGGGATGAGAGCACGAACCACTTCACAGGGTTGTGAGGATTCAGCGGGCTGTGTCTGCAGAGCTTAGCATATATTTCTTCGCACAGAGAGGCCTCAATAAGTGCCGGCTATTATGATTCCTCTCCAGTCTGCCCCCACCACCGTCCCCGCTCCAGCCAGGCCGCAGGCCTCATTTCATTCCTGTGCCCCCTCCCCCAGTGAACATTTCCTGAGCACCTCTCGGTGCCAGCACTGTGCTCCGTGCAGGGAATACAGCCCTGAAGATGGGTCTGGACCTGGACTCAGGGAGCTCACCCATGGGCACAGAGACGTCCCAACAAAAGCAAATACACCCGAGAATCCCAATTTGTGATCAACATTCTGAATGAAACAAATTAAGGGGACGAGGCAGAAAAAAGCTCTGGGAGGAGGTCCTAATTTGAGGAGTGAGGCCAGAGAAGGCCTCTGTGCTGGTGGCCTCCACGAAGGCCTTTTCTTCCTGCCTCGGGGCTTTGTGGCAACTGCTGCTTCTCCCCCAAGCTCCCACTCCAGCTCTCCTACCTCTAGCTCTGCGTTTGGGCCCCTCCAGGATGCCTCTTCCTTGGTGAGAATACCCCAGAGTCTAAACCACTGTGGCCCCATTACGCTACTACCCTGTTATCTTTCTACGAGGTGCCATTCCCACGTGTGTGCGCCTATTTGTATACATTTCTGTGGAACGTCTGCCTTTCTCCCAGGACTCTGAGTGCCAGGTGACGGCAGAAGCCACCACCACCATCCTCCAGCCAGTGCCTGGCATGTGGGAGGTGCTCAAACAACATTCGTTCCTCGATCTGTCTTGGCCTTTGCCCTCTGCTGTAAGGCCCAGGCCGGTGGGCCGCCTTCAGGACCCTCACTGAGCAGCAGATGGGGAAGGTCTGATGAAGCCACTGGCGCGCCAGGGCACCTGCTCCCTGTGGGGAGGAGCATGGAGGCAGCCTGGAGGGCTGCTGCGTCCGGGCCGGGCCCTGGCTCCTGGGCACAGCTGGGTCCACAGTAGCTGCTCTGCGTCGCTAAGGGTGCTGGTGCGGGATGGGTGGCAGGGCTAGTCCCGGGCACAGAAACTTGGTTCAGTTATCACTGCCAGCTCTGGGGAGAGGACACAGACATCCGGGGAGATCCCAGGAAGCTTCACACTGTAGCTGTAAATCTGTACCTTCAAGACTGTCTCCCACTGGTTATTTCTATTTGGGGTTAACCCCAAGCTAAGTAGTTGTGGTAAAGAGGAAATGATAGGCCAGTCTCTCTTTGAGGATATAATTTAGACAAGCAAATGCAAAGGTAAAAAATAAAAACCCCAAGGCTTTCTAAAACCCTCAGCAACACACAAGATAGCACGGTCGGGCAACCGACTGGTAAAAAGGCTAAAATCATAGCAAGAGGCATAGTAGAGAGCTGAGTCTGAATCCCAGCTCTGCAATTTGAGAGTTGGGTGACTTTGGGCAAGTCACTTCCTTTTGCTGAAGACTCCCTTTCCTCCACGGTAAAATGGGAATAATAATTCCTGGGATGGTTATGAAGCTACTCAAAGAGGCTGGCTAAGTGCCTGGCACTGACGGTTCCTTCCTCTGCCTCCTGCAGGGCACCCCATCTGCGCACTTCTGAGAGGGCCTTCAGGCCAGCCAGGCTCCCCTGCAATTCGGCAGCTGGTGAGTAGAGGCAGGGGCCCTGGATCCGGAGTCAGCGAGACCCGTGTTTGCGTCCTGGCTCTGCCATGTTGCTGGGTGACCTTGGGCCTTTCGGAGCCTCAGTTTCATCATCTTCAAGAAGGGGCTAACTAAGGCCAGGCACCCAGCGCACCTGCCTGGAGGAGGCGGCAGGGACAGAAGCTCCCTGTTCTTCTCGCTGCCCCGCCCCCGTGACCCCGGGGTGTGCCCAGCTGACCTGTCTGAAGCCCTCACACCCACCCTAGCTGGACACTGGTCTAACCCACATACTGGAGCCCCCAGGGCAGCTTTCAAGGCTATTGCCTGGGCCCCAGCCCAGAGGTTCTGATGTCACCTTGTTGGGGTGCAGCCTGGGCATTGGGGTTTTACAGCTCCCCAGGTGATTTTTAACATGCCAACAAGGCTGACAACCACCAGAACATTCTTCAAAGCCCCAAACTCGCCAGAGGCCCAGCCTTTACCCAGGGTCAGAGACACTTCAGGCTCTTCACTGGGGAGATAAAATGTGGGAGCAAAGCTGAGTTCTAGCCTGTTCAATCGAGTACTGCTATAAAACTCCCCGTTTGCTTCAATAATTTATGGCCATTTCTTCCCTTGAAGCCTCAACTACAGTGTGCCCTGAGGGCTGGGAACTGGGCTGCTCGTGAATTTTATGTTAACTCTGCAAGGAAGGCAGAAAGGGCAGAAAGGGCCTCTCCAGGCAGCACGCCTGGCCACCGCTGAACCTGACCGCTAATCCTTGACAGGAGCCGCAGGCTGCAGGGGGAGCTCAGCTCAGAAGCCTGGAGTGGACGGGGCTGAGCCAGACTGAGCTGGGACTGGAATCCTGGGACCTGCTTCATGACTCAGGTCTTGGTGCCAGGGAGCTGGGCAGGGAAAACTCATCACGGAGCCCACAGTTTAAAGGACCCACGGCTCTGGAGGCCTGTTCCCATGCGCCTCCTGTAAGGACTACCATTCCTGGCCGGATTCATGTGATCAGAGTGTAGCTAGATATCATTCATCCATCCAGTCTGCTGCCCACACCCATCCATCCACCCATATCTACCCACCTATCCACCCATATCCACCTACCCATCCATCCTCCCACCCACCCGTCCATCCATTCAATCATCCATGTGTTCACCTACCCACTCATCTTTCCTTCCCCTCTCCCTCCCTCCCTCCCTTCCTTCCTGCCTTCCCCTCATCCATTTATTTGTTCACAAAATAGTGACTCTATGCCTCCCAGGTACCAAGCACTGTTTTGGGAGTGAAGTATACAGTGAATGAGTAGACAAAACCCTTGCTCTAGACAGCTCGGGAAGATAGACAATCAACAAGTAAACAAATACACACATGTGATCATTTTAGATGCTGATAAAGGTGAAGATGACTAATAATAAGCCTCAGGTATGTGTGAGAGAGAGAAGCTGGGGAAGGCTAACTCAGTGGCATCTGAGTTGACCAATAAGCAGGACCCAGCCACCTGGATGATACTCCAGGTAGAAGGAACAGCAGGTACAAAAGCCCTGAGGTGGGAACGAGTCTGGTGTATCTGAGGAAGGTTGGGAACGAGAGCTCAGAGGGCAAAGGGGAGAGAGCTCAGAGTGACTGGCAGTCCCAGATCAGGGACTGTGGGCAAAGGTGAAGGAGTCTGGTTTATTCCCAGCGCTAAGGGAGTCATGAGCGGAGGGACGTACATTTACAGCTGTTCTGGCTGCTGCGGAAGAACTGACTTAGAGTGGGGAGGGGTGGAGCAAGGAATCCGGTTAGCTTAGACCACGGTGGCAGCAGAATAGATCCAACCTGCTCAACGTACTTGATGAGGAAACTGAGGCCCGGAGCCTGCCCAGTGCCTTTTCTTCAGTTGGGCTCAAAGGTATCTATCGATGGGGCTGCTGGGATTCCTTAACCCCCTTCCCAAGAGCCCAGGCTAACCGACTCCCCCCTCTGTCCTACAGTCTCCGCCTCTTTGGAGGGACCCATCTGAGCTTAGCATCCCTGTTCACTCCATGCCCTGTAGACAGACCAGCAGAGCTGAGGGACAGTGGGGAGAACCTGGCGGCTGGCTTTGGAGACCTGGCTCTAGCTCCAGCTCTGCCAGTTCTGTACTGTGTGGCTTTGAGCAAGTCCCTTCCCCACTCTGGGCCTTGGTTTCCATCCACATAAAGAGAAGGAAGAGAAGTGGATGCTCCACTGAGGGAGGGCCCTCCCAGCCGGGATGTGCTAAGTATGTCACCTGTGGTTCCACAGGAAGATGGCCGAGGGTCTTGCTTTGGCAGCCTCACTTGGGGGCTCCTAGTCTGGCTGTGTTCTGGGCTCTGACACATCAACAGAAACACAGACACTGTGGTTTCTGAATCAGACTGCCTGCTGCTTCCTGTGAGACCTCGGACAAATGACTTCACCTCCTTGAGCTTGGGTTTTGCATTTATGAAATGAGGATGCTCACATGGCCCTAATTTCAAGGTGTTTGAGAAGAGTCAAGCAACAGGCTGGGGAGGGGACTGTCTTGTCCTCCCTCTGGCCAGTTCACCGTAGGGGTGGGGTGGGGAGCTAGCCTCCCGGCTCTCAGGGACCCGCGTGGGAACTGGTGGCGAGTGACTGACCACCCATGAAGAATCAGGCGCCTGTCTTACCTCCAAGGCTTCGTAGTACATATCTTTAGCCTCCATATCTGTCTTGGCCGACATCAGCCAGGATTTGATCAAATATTCGTAAAAACTGTCCCCGAGTCCTCCAACCGAGACATGGTCTGTGAGGGGAGAGAGGACAGGAACATTATCTCCACCTGCCGAGGCCGCCGCGACTCGGTGGGGAACGAGCATTTAATCCGCAGCCTCAGAGCCCCCGACAGAACGGGGGCTGGGAGGAAGGCATGGCCTGCGACCGGGGGAACCAGGGCCAGCTTGAGCACCATCGTCCCTCATGGAAATGCAGGGGCTCCTTCGGCTGCTATAAATCATGTCATCGTGTTGCTTTTGCAGGCGGAGGACAGGGCAGGGCCTCTGGTTATTAACCGTAAATGAGTTGCATTTCTTGAAAAAGATAACCTGGTGGCAGGGAGTTCAGAGATTTTTATTACCTGGTGACAAACATGGTAATTAATGCTGGGCAGGTTCATAAAAGGCCACGGAAAGGAGCAATGAGAGGCTTAATTTAGCTGGTCAGAACACAGAGCTGTTCTGGGAAGGCCAAGTTTAAATTTAGCAAATTGGGATAAACGGGGTTCAAAGGAGCAGAGGGAAGGAAAACCGGGCTTGAGGACCCCTCTGTCCGCCCTGGTGGAGCAGGAACTCCGGGTGTGGCTGAATGGGCAGGTGCCTCCACCCAGGGCTACCCCAGGAGAGGGATGGCTGACAGAGGAGCGCTTAATTACAGAAGCAAGACACGGCAATGCTTCACTCACAATTAACAACAGGGAAACATAAAGGCATTTAATAGATAAAACAAGGAGAAAGCCGTGCTTCCCTGTTAAGCAGCAAGATAGTGAAGAAGGGAAGGGGGTGGATGAAGGCGGGGTCGGGGGGATGACAAGAGGATTTTCAGCTCCTCTGGAGAAAGAGGGGTTAGAAAAAGAGAGGGGAGGGAAAGTGGGTGGGGGGAGAGAGAAAGAAATAGAGAATACAGCAACAGCTACCCTTTATCGAGGGTCTACTGTGGGCCGGGAGCTTTACTGTATCATTTATAACAATCTTCCCACGAACCCTGTAAGGTAAGCACTACGAACCCCATTTCCCAGATGGGAAAACTGAGGGCGAGCCTAAATAGCTCGGCCAAAGCCACCGAGCTGGTAGAGCTCTCACCTTCTGCAGCTTCACACAGTCAACCAGAGAATGAAAACAAAGATGCAGAGGGAAAGAAAGGGTAAGTGGGAAGAGGGAGGGTCAGATCAAAAATCGGAGGGTCAGACAGCTGGGAACCAAGAAAGGGGGCTGACAGGAGGCCTCCACAGTAAACAGGGGCCCCCTCCAGCCCCCTCCGGAAACAAACCCTGGCCCAGCAAGGGTTCAGGAACGGAAGGAGCACTTGTGAAAATGCGAACAGACCAGGTAAAGCCTGAGGCTTAGGGAGGCGGGGTGGGGTGGGGGGGGCAGCGTGGGCTGGACTTTTTTACCTGAAAAGACGGAACCAGCACAGCGTCCCCCTTGCCCCTGTTCCCAGGGGGAGGACACAGCTGGGCAAGCCCAGAGGGAGGGCGGGCGGGGCTGTGCCAGGCCCAGCACGTGGATGGCGTGTCCACGGCCGGGGCGTGAGGTCTGTGCAAGGCAGGGGTGGGGAGGCCGGAAGTCAGACAGGTTCAGCCTGCACAGAAGGGGCCCCCGCTCACGGCACTCAGCCGGGGGCACGGGCACCTCCACGCTCGTCTCCTGGGCTTGCCTCCTCTCACGGTTCCTCTGCCATCCCAAACACTGCTAGCCCGCTGCCCACTCTGTCTCACTTGTGATGACCCCCCTGCCAGGAATACCCTTCCCTACCTCGTGTGGCTGACACCCCCTCCCTGCTTCACCTCAGCTCAGAAGGGCTTTCCTCCGTGTCCCCATAACATTGAGGTCCCCGCAGGGTGATGTGAGGAGTGAGGGAAATAGGGCACCTGCACCCTCTGGCCCAGCGCCCTCCCGCGGGAAGTGCTTGGTGCAGCCGTCCCACCGTCGCTAGGTGCGAGCCTTGCCCTCAGCTGCTCCCGGCGCTGTGTCATCGGTACCTGTTTGTGGGTCTACCTCCCCCACTAGGCTGTGGGCTGTGTGGGGAGGGACCCTGTATGACTCGCATCTATGCCCAATACCTGTGTGGCACACTGCAGACGCCCAGTAAGTCCTGAATGAGAGAAAGGCAGGCATGTGTGGGCTGTGCTCGGAAGGGCCTTGAACGTCAAAGCCAAAGAGACTGGACTTCAACATGTGATTGCAGAGTGTGTGTGAAGGACAAGGTCAAGGGCTTCACCTGGCAGGTGTACGTGGGAGAGGGGAGCCAGGTCAGCAGGAGTTCCACAGGTGTTTGAGATAGGACACCCTCTTAGGGACATATGCATAGTCTCCCGGGGCCTCAGCTGCAGTGCACAGGTGGGGGGTGTCTTCCCCGCACCGAGGGGCACGTGGGGAGAAGCGCAGGAGTGGGAATTAGAGACGCGGATCCACCATTAGCTCAGGGCAAGCCAGACGCCCCTGGGCCTGTCTCCTGATCTGTAAAACGTAGAAGGGAGAGTTGGTGTGCGTGAGCAGAGATGGGTTCTGCTGCTTCCTGATCGTGTCAACAACGCTCCCACCACACTTGGCAGCAGGAGGCAGCCACCCTATACGCCTGGGAATCGCTGGCGGGAAAGTGGCATGAAGCTTGGGGAGGTGGCCGGGCTGGAGCTGGCGGGCAGCTCACACTCCCACAGCCACGGGAGAGAACCTGGACTTGCCACTTCCCTCCCACTGAGGGAAGTGTGGGATTCGGGCAGTGGACAAGGAGGACAAGCCACCCCAGGGGCCAAGCCAAAGGGCTGGCAGCTCTTCAAGCTCTCAGCGGCTCTGCTAGGACTGGTCTCTTCTGTGCTTGGTGCCAGCAGGAGCCTGCTGGACCTATCCTGGCTGTGAAGTCCTAGCGGCAGGAGGGTCTCAGCCTCCCCGGCTACCCTGAAGCTGAGCTTCAGGCAGGAGTGGGGAGCAGGCAAGAGCGGAGGTCTGGGACTGGGATGCAGCCCTAATTAGCCCTTGGTCTCTTTAAGCTGCAATTTCTCTGGTTGCAATGGGCTACGCTGAGGATTCAAGGAGAGAAAAGAATGTGAGCTTAGCTTATGCAAGTTGGGAATGTTATCATTTGCTGGAAAATTACACAATCATCAAAAAATAAGAACAAAAACAAAAAAAACCTAAAAAGACAAAAACAGACCAAAACACCCAAGAAAACCACAGAAAACCTGGATGACCCCAGGCGCCAAAGCCAGGGGAGGAGGAAAGCAGGCACCCCGATGATCAGGGCTTTCTTTATAACCTTCCCTCTGAAATTTGGCAGGTCTTGGATTCATATTTTATTAATGAGACAGTTTTCCATATGTGACTGACTCTGCCTGGCCTTGCGACCCCAGGTGCAGCCTGAAAAGAAAATTATGCTTCTCAGCGGGGCAGGGGAAGAGGGGGGCGGCTCCCCTGTAATTTGCCAAGGTAGCTGTTCAGGCTGGGAAGCCACGCCCCTCTCCTTCTTTTTATGGGTTTTGCTGCATTGTCCTGGAGCAGCTAAGGCGGGCAGCTGCTTAGTTTATCTCTTTACCCAGTCAGGCCTTGCAATTAAAGGCAGGAACGGTTATTGAACTGTCTCTTCCCATGGCCATAATCTGTAATTCAAACCTTCATTTTCTCCCGGCACTTTTGAATTTGGCAGTGTGTTTTGGTTAAATACACTTTGCATTTCTGGGCCTCCCTGGTGGCGCAGTGGTTGAGAGTCCGCCCGCCGATGCAGGGGACACGGGTTCGTGCCCCGGTCCGGGAAGATCCCACATGCCGCGGAGCGGCTGGGCCCGTGAGCCATGGCCGCTGAGCCTGCGCGTCCGGAGCCTGTGCTCCGCAACGGGAGAGGCCACAACAGTGAGAGGCCCGCGTACCGCAAAAAAAAAAAAAACCAAAAAAACCAAAACAAAAAAACCCTTTGCATTTCTATAAGTGGTTTTTGCAGGAGGCTCCTTGGGAGTGAGGTCATCACCAAGGAAAATTCCCGGGTTGAACTTTCTGGGTCTCCTGGATGTGGATCATGGAGGCTCTGGGATGGAAGGACAGGCCTCTGCAGTTTCCTCACAGTATCCCTGCCGGCTGGCCAGCTGGCCCTCCAGGCCCTGCTTGCATACTTTTGGTGATGGGCGCTCATGACCATTTGGGACAACCCATGTCATCTTTGGAAGATGAACTGAAGTCTGTTTCCTGCAGCTTCTGACCATTGCTCCCACGCCCCTCCACGGTGCACAGAGAACACATCTCCAGCTCTTCTCTCATTTTGCAGGAGAGGAAACCAAAGCTCCAAGGGATGAAGTGAACTCCCCGCAGGCATGCAGTAATTAGACTCAGGTCTACTTTGTCGCTGAGCCCTTGCTAATGCCATAACAATTGGGGCTGGAGGCAGGGCAAGGGAGAGGGGTCCTTGTCTGGGTAGAGGCAGTGGAGGTACAGGCTCTGGGCAAGTCTTGGGAAGCCCCGAGAGGCAGGGCCCATGGAACCTGCTGCCTCCAATTTGTGCTGACTGTGATCACACGACCAGGGCCTTGGACAGAAGGGTAAGGCAGAGCGGTGCTTCTTGATAGGGGTGCAATCCCGGGAGCTGGAAGACTTTAACACTCCCCTGCCTGAGAGACCTTCAAATCCCATTGTTTCAGTGGGTGGAGCTGGGGGCTGTGAATGAGGCTCCACAGGTGACCCACAACTGTCTGGCTGAAAACAAAAAGCCTCTGAACATAAACAGCAGGAAATCCTAGGGCTAATTCTAACAGGTATAAGATACCAGTGATGAACTCATGATTTTTATATTGCTGTATAGTTAGGATCTGCTTACACATTTTTTAAGAAATTAAAGTTGGAGGTAGGGAACCAGACGAAAGGGGCTGGGAGAGGATGCATGGCCTTTCTTAGAGCCGCTTTTGGAGTAAACTTCTAACAGGAGCACCCCTGCAAGTCTGGGGGAGGATGAAGGAGGCTTCGGTGGGCACTGTAGGAGACGGAAGGCTGGAGACAGCTAGCATGCGGGGGATGCACAGGGCAGGGCCTCACTAGCCAGCAGCCATCACATCCGTCACAACGGCAATGGCAACAGAAATGAACACTCCCCACGATGCCCCGAGGGTGGAGGAGGGTGGCAGGAGGGTGGTATCCGGGAGCTCCGAGCCAATGCCTTGCCGGTACGTGGCTCCAATAAGTGTATCGCTCCTCACTCGGCCGGGTGCCTCGCCCAGCCAGGCCGGGAAGCTGGGCAGGAATCCGCTGGAGGAGAGGCAGCGGCGCCCCTGTACTCACGTTGCATCCAGTTCCCGCTCACCGGGCTGAGGAAGTTGGGGTAGAGGCCGAAGGGCTTGTCAATATCCCTAAGGACCTTTCGGATGTTCCTGACCTGCCAAGAGATGGACACCAGGCACGTCTTCATTTTCTCCAAGAAGCCAGCCGAGTCCCAGCCCACTGAGGACTGAGGCAGCTGGTTCGGGTCCAGAGAGGAAACCATTCCGACGAGGCAGGAAGGGAGAGCTGCGTAACTAGCAGCCGGCTCCAACCCGGAGGTGTGAGTCGGTCCTGCCCCTGTGTTCAAGAGCGGGGTGCGGCCACAGTGGGGCCTGACCCTCCACCTCTGCGCTGACTGCTCTGCCCGGGGCCCTGCCAGTTTCCCCTCCCCCACCTCACCCCTTCCTCATTGCGTGTGGATTTTGCGGACGGGTCTTTTTAGGAGGGCGTTCGTGTAAGTGACAGTAGCTCATTTGTAAGTGCTAGACAGAACTGTCTTTTTAACAGGTCAGAAACGGTTATATTGGCAATTTCACACGGTTCAGCTTGGTAACATGTTAAGTTATCAGATACTGTGGCAACCGTTCCAGAGGGGAGGCCTGTGCCCCTCAACATCCCTGTGCCCTAATAGGCATCTCGGGGTTTTAGTAACAACAGCTACAACGCTACAACGCTGTCAACGTTTCTCAGTTGCTGTGAGCCAGACCCATTAGATACATTATCTCCAACCCTCATAACAACCTATACGGTATTATTATCTCAGTCTAACAGACGAGAAAGCCGGATCTCAGAGAGCGTCAGTCACTTGCCCATGGTCACGGGGTTTGTAAGTGGCAGAGCCAGGACGTGAGTCAGGCCTCTCTGACCACAGGGAGCAGCCCTGGCTCCAACATGGATCAGGGCAGGGACCACGCAGCATTGAGTAGCAGACGCCACACCCGCTGGATCAGGAGGCTGGATTTGCAACCTTTTGGACTACAAAGGGCACAATGCGGGATTCAGGAAGGCTTGATCCATCAGGGTCTGCTGTCTGGTGGTACATGAAATCCTCCCAGCACAGACTCTGCACGACAGAAAGGCCCTCGGGGATGGAGCTGTAGCATGCTCGCAGATTTATCTACAAGGTAAGGAGCAGCGAAAGCAGCCTTTTAGCTGTCAGACCTTTCTTTCCGGGCGATGGCACTTTGCTTTGCCACATCAGATCTCATATCCATTTATGTTAACGGAGCCCATTATGGTGGACAGGAATGTGCTTGTACCTGAGTTATTCTCGACTGTCCTTGTTGTGAGCAGTGAAACGGGCTAAATTAGCTCCCCCGGAGGGTGCGGGCGCTTCTAGAATTTGGGCCAATTTGTTGACTGCCAATAATCGCCTCTGTGGGAGGCAATGACTGGCGAATGAAAGTAGCTGGAGAATGTAAATGTAAAGAGACACAGAGAGACGATGAGGTGGATGGACCCTTGAGAAAAATCCGGAAGCCTGCTG